TCTCCAGATAACGTAGCATGCAATTCGCCACTACGAGCTCCACAGGCGATCGTTATCCTTACAGAATGTCTGGAAGATCACCCACGGAATGGTTCAACATTCGAACCGGTGCAATTCGTCGAGATAGCGGCTTTCTCCCTTGTTATTCCACGTCAAGGTGGTCTGCGTTGTCTTAACTTACACCGAGAGGCTGATCTGTATTCAGTGACACAGCTCTAAATGCCGGGCAGTGTTCTTAACGAAACCTTGAGTATGCCGATGACGTCCCGCAGTGAAGCAACTACGCAAATCGTCAACGGACCACGGAAAGCGTCGGTGACATCACTATGAGATTCGGACTACAAAATTGTATCCCCAAAACCCCAAAAGACGACGATTATGAGAACGCCAGCCACGACCAGCAGTTCGAGTATATTACGGGGAGGTATTACGATTCACTTAGTGGGCAATTTCAAGTACCTAGCACCTATGTTGACTAACGGCGACGAAACTGATACAAATAAGTGACTCGGCATATGAAACTGGCATCAGCGAATGATAACAAGCAATTTGACATACGGAACGATTGGACTATAGAAACTTGGCGCGAAGATGACCATTCTGAAACCAGATATATGGGTGCTGCTCACATACAGTTGGCCTCGCAACATCTCGAGGCTCGTTTACGCATTTTCGAACTGCGCAGTCTGAACATCATCTTCCAAATGCGACGGAACCACCAAGATACGAACGAGTAGCTGCTGAAGACCATCAGCCTGAGACAACTATCAGATGAACCCAGAGGGATGGGGCCCAATTTGATTTGATACAACGGTACATAAAGCAATGGAGATATATTCAAAACAGTTCTTCTTTGGAGATCGCGCACTGACTGCATATGGGTGGGAGGACACTACAAAATGTGGCAAAACTTGCAGAGAGGAATGTGACCTTTGCCGCGGTAATAAACTTTGAATAATATGAATTTGAAGTACTATTCCTCATGGTCAGACATGACAAATATGGGCTAGTTTACTGTTTAAGCTTGTTAACCTCAGAAAACGACAATAAAAGAACAGACAACAACAAACGAGCCTCCTGACGCCCCAGGACGGCGAATACAAACACTTCTAGACCTTAAATGAGCATCGCGATGTTGTTCCTTTTAGAACTGTGACCTTTGTGTCCATTCCTATGTTTCGGTTCGTCCACTAGCCAAAACTCGCTGATGCCAATCCACTATGCCGGTTAACTTCAGGATCAATGTCGTTAATGGTCTATCTCCTCAATCGACTACCATCCAGTGGGCGCCTTCATAATCTTCGTCATTTTGGCATTTGCTTGTAGCCCTACTCCGAGAGCAGTGTTGCATACCCTTTCGATGAATGCCAGGAGGTCACTTACGCATCGCTCAGCGTACTGAGCGTACACAGTAGCTGTTAGGAAAACGAGTTATATCGAGTTGCGTCGCTGAATGATGATCAGTCACTCGTTGCAATTCACTTCCTCATAACTCAGTCCGCCATCATTTTAAATTGCACAGAATAGGAGATCTCGCCCTGAAAAACTCTCCCGGTAACATGTAACCAATCTTAGAATGATCACTCAGTTCAGACAACACATTTCACAGATCTTTACTCATGTTTCCCATCGCCTGTGAGATTTTACACGGTCGAATGATACGCGGCATTGTCTGAAGATACATTTGGTCAAACGTTACGCAAATATCTAGAAACGCCACCTGTCAGGGCCGTTGAAGAACCATGCGCCGCTCGACTATTCATTTTAGCCAAAACATGCTGCCAAGTGGCTGTGCACAAGCGCTCACCCCGAAAGTTTCTCACAGGCGAAGTATCAATGGCTTAATTCAATCTTCCAAGGATAATCCGCGCGAACGCCTTCCTGAACAAGATCAGAAGGGTGATTCTTCGATAGCTTGCGCAATAGACACTGCTCCCTGATTTGCAAATCAGAACGATCACGCCTTTCTACCAATCATTGGGGATCACCAACTTGCGCAAGATGATGCCGAAACTTTGAGTGGATCCAGCGTAATAAGGTTTCTACCTCCGCAGTTCAGGATTTCTGCACCAATCTCATCGCCTCTGCAACACCACGAGTCTCGACAGAGAGAGATGTACCTCTTCTCGAAATTCTTCCTTCAGTTTGGGGAGAAGATTCTTGTTTAATGTTCGAAAACCATTCAACAACTACTGCAGAACAATGCTGAGTAAGCAGCTCTGTGAAGTACTCAGTCCATCGTTTCTGACGACTATCAGGTAATTGCAGCAGGTCATTGGACTTACTGTATAACAAGCCTGAGATATGCTTTTGTTTGACACCTGCGGCGACGTTGTTCAACTGAATGGAAAGCATTATCGAGTCAC